TTCATTGGAGCACATGGCAGGATAAAGAAGACAAGAGAGTTCACAGATAAATAACTAGCGATAGGGACAGGATTGGGATATGGCTATCACCCATCCAGACTGTCTTAGGCTTGTCCTCTTTTTCAGACAGGATCTCCCAGGATCCTCTCTGGGAGGACTCTGAGAGTGTCCATATTTGTCTGGGATTGTTGGCACCCAGGAGGATGTTACTGCACATGTGTGCCAGTCTCAACTTGGACATTCTCGGTCCAGAAATCCTGAAGAGAGCCACAGAGCAAACACACTATGCCTACGCTGCCTGCATAAAGCAATTCCAGCATCACCAGGAAGTACCACACTTGCTGTGCAAAACACTCTTACAGAGTGTTGCATCAACTTACTATACAGTTACTCTCTGCATTTACAGTCAGTCCAAGTGCTAAAACTATTAGGCTTACTGCGCTTGCATTATGCAACCTGAGCACCTATTTCTGAACCATAATAGCCAAAGGGTGGCATAAACAACCTTCAGGGCAGTGGCACAGCCCGTTGGTTGCTGTAGTTCACAGCACAGTTCACCTGAGCCTCACTCCCAGGCCGCAGCTGCTGCAAAGCAAAGTTTCTACTGAAAAATGGTAACTGCCAAGGAACTCCCTAGTCCCAAACGCAGCTTCTGAGCCAAGCTCTGCAGAGAAGGGAAGCAAGAGCAGTGGGGTTGCTATGGTCAGGTGTACAGCAGGGATGTGGGAAAAAAGGTGCAAAGAATAAGAGTTATTATCCATGTTTATGGAGGGGTAGATATGCATGACATGGAGGTATCACAGTAGCATTTGCAGATAAGAGCAAAATTCTGTTGGCTTCAGACAAATTACCTCTATTTCGCACTACTATAAGAAATAACAAAAAAAAAAAAAAAAAGAAAAGAAAGGGGGAGAGCACTGCCATTCATCTGTGCTTTAATTACAAGGAAGCTGCTTCTTGTATTTTGAGCTCTGTAGCTATTAGTCCCAGGACTTTTGTGAGTGACAGATTTGACTATAAAAGGAATGAGTCTGCTAAACTGGGGCATTAAAGAGGAGATAGTCCAACATTTCTAAGCCAAAATCTGTAGTAATCCATACTCAGCTGAGTTGTACATACTTGATCCACAGTCTTCTCCCTAGCTAATTGACTTTCATTGTGGTACTTCAGGTACAGAAGATCAAATTTGCTGTCATGATTGCTTGTAACTCCCACTAAAATCTGTGAGAGAAATGTGACCATGAATAAAAAACTGTGTGGCATCCTCACAGCACTCATTTTCTATGTAAGCCTGTTATTTTGAAACCAAAGTCTCTCTGAGTTGAACCACCCTCTCTCAAGAACGAAGCCTTTATCAAGGCTACTGTACTGGGAAGCAAGGCAGATATAAGAAAACAAAATTCTTTTTGGAGCCTTTGAAAATTATTTCAGTTCCTGGTTTGAATTTAAATAGAACTAACTATTTTTTCTGTCCACAATTACCAATTATAGTAGAAATAGAATTTTAAGAAATATTCAAAGCACAGCCTGAAATAAATTATATAACATCATGTTGTGACAGCTGTGGATTGAACTCAGTGACCTAAAAAGTGCTTAAATTTGTTTCCATCTTAGGAAGTTCCTAGGTTTATCCATCAGCAGAAGCAGTTAATTCCCATAAAATCAATTATACATGTAAGCAGAAACATTATGGAAGTAAAAGAGCACATAAAGAAGAGCAAGCACAATTCTGCTTTCACAATATTGTGAATCACAAGCAACTCCACCAAAGCCAACAGGGTTATGCTGGTGTGAGTGAGAAAAGAACCAGCTCCATTCTCCAAAAATTGCTAAGGCCACCCATGAAAGCCAATGAACTGCAGCAGCTAATATGAGAACATTTAATTCAGACAACACAAGAGAGAAGAGCCAAAAAGGCTAAAAAAAAAATGTATCAGGGAAATGGTGAAGGGAAGAGGAAAACAACCAACCAAACAAAAGATTACAGTTAAAAAATAAAACATCCTCTGCCCTGCAAATTCTCTTAGGAAAAAAAATGATTATAGTAGATATGTTTTGTGTGTTGATGGATACTGCATTAGACCTACTCAGATTGGTACAGAACGTGAATCTTAATTTTTCAGCATAGAACACTATATCATATCCCGTCACATTTTAATGCAGCATTGTACTAAACAATACCTTCATTTTCCCTTATTCTAGTTTATTTCTTCCAAACACCTGCCCTTTTCTATTCTAGATCAGTTAGTTTAGCTTCCCTGGCTCCTATCACCTCCCCATTTGGAACAGCATTTCTGACAGTGGTACCTATTCCCAATAACTGAACAAAGGTTTGTTTCTGGAAAGCTGTTCGGGCACTAACCTTTTCCTCTTCTTCAGTTTTCTTTCAGTTTTTCTGGCTTCTCCATTTATCTCTCATCACACACTGCCTCTTTCATTTAGTTACACCTCACCTGCGGCATTAGCGGTGCTATTGGCACTGTCCTGATTACAGCCAGGCAGAAGCTATTGTGGACCTGTAAAACAGCACACCGAGTTTATCCTGCTGCATTACAAACACCGCGCTACGCTCACACACCACGTCAGCACTATCACAAAACATCAAACATCAAACTGTATTGAGAGATGTGCTGAATACGAACCACAGAATTATCAAAAATGCCATCTCTTCCCCTTCTCCCAGGTTATTTCATCTCATCTTAGCCTTTTTTTTCTGCCTTATCATCTGTTGCTTAGGACTTTGTTGCATTATTTTCTTCCTCCTCACAGTCATCCTCTCCTGGTTTCCTTCATTGCCCATCTCACATTCGTCCATGCATTTTCTCCCTTCAGATGTGCTCTTAACAATCACTACAATGGAGGCAGCAATGCAGCTTTCTAGAACGTGGCATTTGCTCTTCAGTGAACAACACTGTACCTGGGTGCATCTTTGGGATCAACAAACGGAAGGTCTAGAAACACTCCCTTCCCAAAGGCTTAAGCCAGAGAGCTCAGTTTCCAAATCTGCAAGATGAAGCACACCAAAAACAGCAGGAGAAAGCTTGAAATAATACAAGCTTCTTTTCTTGCCACGCACATTCTCCTTGCCAAGGCTCTTAGCAACCAGGACCCTATAGAATGGGTGACTGACTGGAATCCGATGATGTCAGAATGGCAGAAATGGAGAGAAGATGCATTTTGTAATGGCACACAACTGAAAAGCAGGAAATTGGTGCCAAACTGCGCAGTATTAAAAGCAAACAAATTATTTCCCAACTATTCAACATGCAAAGGGCACAGAGCAATGCCTTTTCTTAATATTTGAACCGCTAATTGAAAAAGCATAATATAAGCAAAGAACAAAAGAGTGCTTGTTGATAACAGGTATTGTGTTTTACACGACAGCATCACAGTTTCAAAAGCAGCACACCAGGTCAGCAGAGAGAACACACACTTGGGATAGCATCACTCATCTGTATGCTAAACATAGCTTCTAAGCCTCGCTTAGATCCGTCTAAACTTTGGCACATGCCTTAGCAGCTGCATGGGACTTAACTATGCCTCTTTCAGAATGCACCACAGTGCAGAACGAATGGCTGATTAACACTGTCTCATGCCCCATACATTATCGGCAAAATGTTAAGTAGTTTCTTCAGAGGATACTTTTCTCTGAGTATTCTTGTCAATTTTTAAGATTTACAAACAATTGTCTATTATTTTTGTGATGTTTGCTTCTTCTGTTGCTGTGCAAAAGTACTGAAGAAAAGACAACATTTAGCAGTACAGGGAGAACAATGAAACTGAGCGCACACTCACTCTCAGCAAATCTAAATGCTGTTCAAATCCATTAAAAATGAAGAAGAAAACTAGAAACTGTTCTCCACATATTTCTCTACTACAGTAATCGGTAATATTTGTATTAACTATACATATTTTTTTTTTCAGAGAACAACAAGATTTTTAAATTGGTATCTCTTTTGAACACTAGATTCCTTTAATCTCATGTTTTGGGCTGGATATCAAAGCAGTATAATGCATTCTTCACAAGGAATTCTGAACTTCATTGGCTCTGGGGTCCCAGAACATTCTATGCACCTTTATTTTCATACTAATAATTTCTTAGACCAAAGACCCTGTTTTTACAGGGTCTACAGCTACTTGTTATCATTGTAGTTTGCTTTAAAATTTTGTATTGAAACTCTCCTAGCTTCTTAGAGATTAAATATTGCTTCTACTTACATTAGCACGTTTAGTAATTTTTCCCATCTTCAAAGCCTTGATCTGCACATTATTTCACATATGTCTCTATGCAGTTCTAGCCATATGAAGGCAATTATACCCTGTGCTGTAACTGGCATGCTAAGACCTTGAACAGCAGTCCTGATAAGAAAGACATAAAAGGAAAAGAAAGGATTTTAAAATCATCAGTGCTAAAACGCAGACCTAAATGTTGCCTATCAGACATGTGAGATATATTTTAGGTTTCCATTTCCAGTGGTCAACAGTGTATATATTTTTGCTAATGTGCAACACCTCCTCTATTCACTTGCTGAAAACTTTGTAAATATTAGAGAAGACATAAATATAAAACCAAAAGATAATTTAAAAGAAAATAAGAAAATCATAAAAATAATCCTAACTGTACATCTAATATATAGGAGAAAAATGTTAAGGTGGAAGAGTTTCAGCAATAAAAAAGAATCAGATTAGGTAAACTGGTAAAGTAGGTTTAATTGGTTTGAATTAACTCCTTGTCAAAGACAACCAACATACTGTGAAACAGCTCACAATGTAATTCTCCTGCTACTTAATATGCACTAAAACACAACATCCTGGTTTCCTTACAGTGATGCACACTTAGTCTTATTTTCTTGTATATGCATGTCTTGCTGTAACATTTCTACAGGGAATGCTTAGAGGACCTCCTGTCAGCACACGTTCATGGTGTTTTCTGGATTATGGATATTGCTTACCTAGAATTTCTCTCAAGAGGCCTTCATTTATTTATTTCCTCCCTCCAAATGGAGATTGTACCTCAGAGTACAGGTACAATTCCATAGGATTTTCAGATTCAAGATATGCTGGGCAGGAGTCCCTGCACACAGGCAGAACTAGGCACGACCCAGGCGTCCTTGCCCAGCTACCCACATGCTGTGTTCTGCAGGGCACAGACGGCCTGGACTCCAAGGGCCAGAACGGACAGGTCAGACTCACTATCAAGCAGCAATTCCAGGATGGTCAGAATTCAGCGAATTTGACACTTGGGCATATGTGCCACCTAAGTAGTGAACAAACTCCTGTCTGTCAGGAGACTCGGTAGAAATACAGGAGACCACATGATGGAGCAGGTAACATTCTGCACCTCATTCTAATTAATTGATCTTTCTTTCAAAAAATATACCTTTCAATAAATTTCCCTAAAACAGAGGCTGCCTTTCATCTTAAATTTGGATAAAGCCTCATCCAAAGAATTCTCACATGTTGGAACAGTAGTAATAATCTGAAAAAGAACAAAGGACTTAATCACCTCATCAACCACAGTGGGGGTTACAGGGTGACAGCTTCTCGTGATCTGATTTGTAGCTACCAAAATGCAGAATGAAGAGAGAAGGTAAAAGTTCTGTCTGAAAACTCTTCAGATTCCTTTTGAGCAGATTGTTTTTCTTTCTGAGGACAGTGAGAATTGTAGTTCACCTTACAGTTTCTCAATGAGATGTAAAAAATGAGACTTACCTAGTTTCTTGGTTTGACTGTTTCCTGTTTAAGAAGTGTTCATGTTTACAACTGTAATAGTTCTCAACAAAGTTATAATCAAAGAGACAGCACAGATTGTCCTTAAAGTACTCTAAAAGAATATGAAATTTTGTACAAGAACTCCATTTGTAAATGATTCCTATTATTTGTCTTTGGTCAAGCATTAGTAAATTGGAAGCTAAGATGAAATCTCATAAGTGTTTCCACATGTGAAATATTTTATTCCTTTCAAAATAACACAAGTCAGCAAAGTAATTAATACTGTAACTTAACTCTAAGCATTTCTTATTATCACTCTTGATTTCAAAATAGGAGTCATGCAACGGTCTTAACAGCTTAACAATGTATTGAATTCACAATATCTGATGCAACCGGTATGATTTCCTAGCTCACATTTCATTTGTAATGCAGGAAGGGACATTCCTCGCTTGTACTGTGAAGCATACAGTGTTACACATCAGCTGTGGTTCCAAAAAAAAAACGTAAATGAGGGGTATCTATTTTTAAATCACATGGGATCACATAATTGAAGACTCTTAAAGAAATGCAGAAGTACAGAAGGGCAAGTTCTTTTGGCTTTATCTGGACTCTTAACTGCAAGAGCTTGTAGTCATCTAGGTTTGTTGTGTCAGCATCTTACAGATTTCTAACATTACAGATAAAAGCAAGAGAAGGATTTTCAAATTTCAAAATTTCAGTTATTTTCTCTTGAAAGACTTGCACACAACCATATACAGACTAAAATACTGAATTAACTCGGCCAGCCCTTGCAAACTCCTCAAGCAACTCCATTTATTTCCATTGAGAGTCAATGGAGTCATCACATCCAATTGACTTCAACAGGACTTGGAAAAATCCCTGGATCTACAGCCATATCTGGCAAGGGCAGTCAACAAAAGTCAATAAATCAAACATTTAAAAATGCATCTGCATAGAGAAAAGGAAAGACACAAGAAAATGGGAAGAAGGGAGAAAATTAAAGATGGTGTGGAGCAAAACTAGAGCACATCACCTCTTTCCTTTTAATATTATCAGCTCTTTCAAATTCCAATAGTTCATTAACTCAGTGTTGGACCTTCATAAGTCTAACCAGCTCTGAAAGCTCTTCTCTCTTTTGACTCAGGACTTTGACATAGTCTTTTCTGCAGTAAGAGGTATCAGTTCTAAAGTATTTGTATCTTCATCAGGAGAAGATGGAAAGCACTCAGGGTGAGCACAGAAGGGTAAACACCCCTCTTCTCAAGCCTAAAAGATGGAAGGCCTGAAAAACAAAATCTAGAAAAAGACCTATGATGTATGGCTGACCCAAGCTGATAAAGGGATCGAGCTGTCTCTCTGCACGAGCTGCATCTGCAGCGGCCAGTCTTCTCTGGCAGTAGCAGTCTAGGGAAGGCCATCTAAATAAATGTGCATTTTCCCTTGCCCTGCTTTATAGATGCATGGAATGCTCAGGAAATCCCCAGCCTTGAAGAGATCTTTCAGAAGCAGCAAATCTGTAGGGAGCCCTATACCCCAAGTAACCTGAAAATTTAATTTCACATTACAAATTTGAAGACCCATTTTCAGGATGATGAAGCCTGACTCCAAATCTATTTTTAGGCTTTTAAGAAAGGCCCTATTTATACGGGCTAAGTGATCAGTAGACCCCAGTGAGTTCCAGAATGTTTTGTATGCTTAAGATGGAAAACAATAGACTCTTTCTCCTGGTTTTTGGCTATACAGAAGAACATCAGTTTATATTATATTTAGGGAACAGTCCCAGTAACATGTTACCTGGTAATTAGTACAAGTCGCCATCTGTAATTTTGGTGTTGTCTGCTACAGATATTCTTGTTTCATAAAACTACACTCAAAACTTCTCCAAACTATCACCAAATGTGTGTCATCAACACATCATGTGCCACATGTCTGCCATGCTCTCAGATGTACTATGTTAAAGAAAGACCTGATAGTTATTTGCTTCACATCTTTTAGACGCATACTTTTTCACTAGAAATTGCTATGTTGGTTCTAAGTTGGTATGTGGCATTTAGACTTAGATGAATATCTAAAAACAAATCTCCTCCCTTCTCCTCCATTTCCAAAGACAGACACAGAGAACTGATCATGACCAGACAGCAGGAAATCCTTAAATGGTAGTAGGAAAGAATATTTTATTTGTTGGCGTAGACTAACAACCTCTTTGTTGTCTCCCATTTATGAGTTAGACAGCAAAGCATGCCACTGGGAACTACAACAGAAAGAACTACAAATGTGAAAAGGAGAAAGTTCAGTTTTAATAGATTAAAAAGAAAAAAAATAAACACAAAAACATTATTTGGGCCATTTGGTTCCAGAATTGGGTTATTTAGGCAAGCAACGTTTATGCATTTGCAAAAGCTGCATCATTATATCTAAAGAAATACCAGAGACAGCTTAAATGCATGAGAAATACCGTTATACCAGGAAGTACTGCACTACCTGTAATGGTAACATAAATATTACAGATGTTATTGATTACAGATACAAATTGTAATGATAGCATCTTCTGTACGTTTCTGATTCACAAGAAACAAAAACTGTACTCAGCACAAAGTAATTGAGAGTAATTGCGCTACAAGGGACAAATCTCTTCACAGACTGGCTCCAACATGTCGCAATTCTGTCACCAAGCGCGATCAGCCAGTAGCTTCAGCTGCTTTCTACAGCCTGTTCCCAGCTTATCTACAATGGCCTAGTCCACTGCTTTAATTAAAAATCCTTTTCCCTCTCAACTGCAGAATTTCACACTTAAGATATTATGATTATAGATTCTTCCAGACGCAACTTGCATTTCTAATATTAAAGAAAAATCATTAGAAACCCAGTCAGAACCTTCAGGCTTTCTCTGTTCAAAAATATAACATAACTTCCAGAAACACCAGAAGCACATAAGTAAGTTTTCTGATATATAGTATGTTGTTTTTCAAATCACTTCTCATATTTAATTACCCTGTCAAAACTAATAATATTTAAATACATTAAATACATGATCAAGGATGTGGTAAATTGTTTCACATTAAAATTTATCCTGCAACAAAACCTAAGAGGTTCCTGCCCAATTCCTCATCCAGCTCCTACCACTTTGCTAGTTTACCCCTCAGCCGAACTGATGCAACTGTTTGCGGTGTTGCACTCTATGCCAAACAAAACAAAATGACCTAATTCAACAAAACAACAGCACCAAGTTCAAAACGTATGGGGATGCAAGTGTCATGGGGTCAGTGGGAATTTCATAAACAAATCTTCTGAGATATTTTACTACAAAATTACACCATTGGAGTATTTACATGAAGACTTTGTCCAAGAAAGCTAGTTCACTGACCTAGCTTATAAACATTCCAGGTTGGCAAACCTTAACCAAATAGATCTGGAGTTTTCAAATAGTTAATCATCTAGGAAGCCATCAATAGCAAACAAGTATTCTGCCTTACTATTGTTTTAAAGTGCAACTTCTATATTAATCACTTTCATTCATATGTCTATTTTTAGAATACATAATTATAAGAAAAATCAAAAGTAATTATTCAAAATGCCAATTAGAAAAACATGAATTTTGGTTGTCTGGAAAAACTGTCTTGATGATTAAAATAAAAGTCTGAAATGTCAGTGTCACAGAGTGAATAACCACCTGATTGTCAAAGCTGTCGACAATGCATGCCTTATTCCTTGAAGGGAAAAATACTTTTGTTTATATTCTAATTGCAACCTTTACTGTTTGAGACAAAAGAAACTGAAATTAGACACAAAAAAATCAAAATTTCCTCAGTTCAATTAATACTCACCATTTTAATTTTCAAATAAGAAATTTAATGCAGCAGATATCCTAGGAGCCTCTTCAGAGGATATTCACACATCCAAAGAACAGTAGGTTTTTCATCAGCAACACTGTCTTGCAAGTGGCAAATTAACTACACTGTTTTGCAAGAACCTGTTTTCTTCCTATCCAAGAATCTCAAGGTTTTCTTTTGAACAATAGTGATCAGGGATTTAAAAGACGACTGGTTTGCTCATTAAAGTTCAAAGCTAATTTACTGCATGAGTAGCAGAAATGCCAGAAACAGTCCTTTTAAATTACTGCACTTATGTCACTTTAAAGTCAAGTATCTTTTCAGGGCAAATACACTGCTTCCTCTCACACATTATTAGAACAAACAGATTACATGCTCATTTTCAGTATTACTAATTTTACAACTAAATAAAAGATGACGTGGACATTGGAAGGCGTGCTGGCTTTTGATAAACATTATCAGGATAGACAAAAATCCACCACTGGGTATGCAATAAATCAAAATGAATGCAGAGCTACCTGCTTGCTTCATCCATTGCAGCTATGGCTTGGTTTGATATCTGATCTAGCAGACTGTGTGCATCAAGTATGCAGTGAGTTGCCATGATGAAGAAACAGATACACCTGGGTCCTACTGAGAAAAAAATGTCATTAGAACTGTTCCTAAAGAAGGGATCTGCACATACTCTATTTCATTTCCAAGAAAAAAATACCTATATTTATATCTCTCACATATATATTATATCACAGATATATCTGTAAAACTTTGCTGCAGCTCCTGCTCAAGCAAAATTCCAAATGAGTAGGGCTGCCAGCACTTGCTCTGTGAGTTTATGAGACAAACTTACTGGTTAATTTCCTAGACTTCTTCAAAGTCCAAGTATTTGCTTTGAGTCCAAAGAACCGTGAGATCCTCAGGTTTCTAGTCCGAAAAGCAGGCATACCCCTGTATGCATCACTAAGTTTTACTCTTGTATTGAATCACCTACCCTAGAGGAGGAAAAAAAAAAATGAAACAAAACAAAACACTCTTCCAACACTACTGGGTTTAAATCACATTTTTAATGAATTTAATCACGTAGTCTTACAGAAGAATTCTATCTAAAAGGTGGGGGGTGTACATACAGATTACATAGTGTGAGAAAGGGAAAATAAGTTAATGTATTTTTTATTTACTCACAGCTGTTGAAATTCCAGGATTGTTTCTCTGAATAAAATAGTCAAAAACATTCCCTTAATACTTTTTGCGGTAGGAAAAAGAAGAAAGGGAAAAATATTAAAATGCTTCAGAAAAAAGATCCTAAAAGCAATCGTTATCCACACTCCTTCTCATAAACTAGGATGTATTTTAAATTAGGGACATCACTTTCACTCAATAAATCTGTTGCCTCTTGTACCTTCATCACAGATAAAATTAGAATTTTAACAGCCTACGCAACTTATGAGTTGGTTTACAACTTACTGAGCTAGGTTACAATAATGACATTAGATTATTATTAGGAAAAGGACTGTAGTGCTTTTTTCTTCTTTCTCGTTTAATTTAAAGACATACCTCTCTATTGTCCCTAGTCATTAGCTTTAGGTAACTCATTAGGCTTTGAATTCTGGATCATCATCATCAACGGAACTATTAAAGTCTGGTTGTTCCCAAATGTCAAAAATTATTAGGAGGGAGAGATTTTTTGTGTGTGGCTTTCTGCAAATAGGATACTCATTTGGGAAGGAGACCTTACTAAGTTAACACTGTTCTTAAAAGTCTCTGACTTAAGAAAACTGTAAAATTACAGGTTGCATTGATATAAACGAGGACAAAATGTGATATGCAGAACTGTGAGGCAAGAACCTGAAATAATGACTTTATTTCAGATCCTAAGACAGCAAGTGATAGCTAAAAGCACATCTTGTGTCAGTAAATTGTACTGTAATTTCTATAATCTATGCCTGGGGTGAGTTTTCATTAAAAACGAGAAACATTCAGCTGCCAAGGCTGACAGGGATGCAAGAAGGCCAGCCTGTTCAGAATGAACAGGAAGAAAACAGCCACAGACACCAGCTGACTGACACTGAATGTGAATGGGTTCCATCTATTGTGCTTGTGCACTTGAGGTGCAAATGCTCAGCCACGCATCTGGCACATCACCCCATAGGCAACAGGGTTAAACCACTCCTTGAAGCTCTGGAGTCACAGATCCCAGTTCCCAGTCCAGGAGGAAGGCCTGGCTCCCTGGCAGATAATTAAGCACAGTGATGAAGAAGCTTTGCTGAAATTTACTCTTTCCAAATCATAAAACATAACCTCTTACTCTTTTTAGCAAATGCGCATCTGAGATTAGTCCAGTGGCTGAATCATCACAATCTCCCCAACAAAGGCTGGATGCTGACAGAGATGAAAAACACGCTGATCTGCTGCTCCATGTTTCTTACTGAAATAAAATGCTGGAGCATTAGAAAAAAATATTCAGGAGAGGTAGCACAATATTAGCATACTTGATTTGACACGTTATTGCAGATTACGTATGGACAATAAATCTATGTATGCATACATACCTGGATAAAGACTACATCTGAATATGCCTGCCAATTCCAGCAGGCAATGTGTGTGTCAGGGAAATCACAGGGCATTCCTTCCATGAGCACTTCTCAATTTACAAGCTAACCTAATGCAGCTAAGAGGCCTTCCCACAGCCCGTGAGGCACCACAGCCAGGCCCCGGTGCTGCTCGAAGGCTCCAGGGCTGCAGCAGTGAAAGCAGGCGCCCATTTCTGCTGCTCTCAGCAACAGACCCAAAGCTTACAAAGCGTTTATGGGAACACAAACCCGGCCGTTTTAAACCTAAGAAGCCTCTTATATTTTATTGGCCTGTACTGCTACATACAAACCCCACAACCGAACACTCCCCCGCCCCGAGCAGAGGGCAGACTGCCCATACCGGGACGGCTGCGTGTG